GCCTCCCAGAGTGCTAGGATTACAGGCGTGAGCCACCTACATATGTGTTTTTTAGGACAAACCATCTAACTTTTAATTCTTTTTGTTTATCGGATTTATTTCTTAAACTAGATTGGGACTTAACAGAGGGTAAAGTTTATATCTCATGTGCCTATTTACTTATTTACAGTAAATAGCACAGGGAACCCACTCAATAAGTAACTGAGTATGTGATAAACAGAGGAATTTCCTTAGAAAATACCTCAAAAATATGCACTGAGATCAGTTTATACCTACACTTTCCACAATAGTAGCTGGTAGCCGCTAGTCAGAATGATGACTCTAAATAAAAAGCTAACCATTACCAAGAGTAACATGCTGTATTACCCAGTTAGAAGTGTACATATTAGAAAGCTTTTTTCAAGAGTTGGAAAAAAATCATTCCCAGCTACTTTTCAATGGCCCAGATAAATAATTTATTGTTCATTTCGGAGGGGCCACATATAAAAATCCTATAGACTAAGGATGTAATTTTTATAATCACATTTCTCTTCAATGAAAATACTTCTTCAGAAAATTTCTTGTTCTGAAGTAAATTATCACAGATACACTCTCATTTCTAGACTATGTGACTTTGAGCAGTTTATCTCTAAACTCCAGTTTCCCCACAGTAAAAAGGCTAATAATTTTATGATGGTTGGGTTCATTTAAAGGCAATGTGATAAAAGGGAAAAAAGGATATAGTAAAAACTACCCCTGAAAGTCCTATACATAACCTTAAGTAAACACGGTCTTGTGTATCCTGCACTAGTACTCATTAACCCAGTGCAGCCAGCGTTTGTTATGGCTTTGAAACAGAGCAAAATACCAGATAAAAAACAGATTCCCAATCCCCCTATCCAAAACCCTTGGGGCCAGATGTGTTTCAGAAATTCAGAATTCTTCTAGTTGAGAAAAGCCGCATGGTGCACAGACTGCATCTGTGTGACACCCAGCAGAGTCTGGGGCAGCAGCCCGCAAACATCAGCTGGAAGTGGAATATGTGAATAGTCACTGTAAGGAGATAAAGACGACATATACCTTCATGCCAATTCAGAACAGATTTTGCTATTAGACTTTCGATTTTCAGAACTTGTTATGTTACAAAATTGTGGGCTAGTGGTCAGACTGCGATTTGGACCAAAACTGTTCCAAAAAGGGAATAATTTTTTTTCAAAATATGCCAAGTCTACAGTTGGATTCACTTAAGCCAAACAAGACAGAAAACAACAAACAAAAGCTATTTACCAATCATGTCCCATCTTCCTCACTTTCCTGAAAATTAAACCTTGGCATCCTCTGTGTCAAGGACAGGGACAGAGCCCCAGCAAAAATGCAAACAAATAAAAGCCAATTCCTGCCTTTAGGGCTTTCAAGGGGCTATGTCA